CCCCACAGGGCTGTGGAGGCGGCACGGAGTGGGTCTAGCGGGTGTCTATGGCAGATGTCTATAGCCCGTCAGGTGTCATGAGGTGTCGGGAGGTGTCGGGAGGTGTCCGGAGGTGTCCGGAGGTGTCTGAGAGGTGTCTTAGAGGTGTCTGACGGGTGCCGGCGAGGTGTCCGCGACTTGTCTGGCACTTGTGTGTGAGGTGCGTGGCAGCTGTCTCCGCCTGCATTCTTGCCGCACTCGCCGTGCCGCATCCTAATCTCCCCCTAATCTCCCTAGTCTCCCCTAATCTCCGCCTGCATTCTTGCCGCACTCGCCGTGCCGCATCCAATCCTCACAAGAGGAGCTCTTGTCGTCGCACGCGACAGGTGGACCCGCCGCCACCGCCGCGACTGATTCCGCCACCGCAGATGCCGACGATGCCGTCCCCGCCACCGCACGCCCCCCCGCCGCCGCCGCCGCCGCAGCTGCTGCTGCCGCCTCCGCGCCCGCCAGCGCTGATCCTGCCGCCTCCGCGCCCGCCAGCGCTGATCCCGCGGCAGGGCCTGCCCCGGCCTGCGTCGGCGGGGCGCGGAGGGCGGGCGGGGGCGGCGAGGCGTTTCCGACGCGGTCGGCGCGCTCGAGCGCCTCCAGCGACGTGAGCGGCCGCCCGCGCCCCTCGGCCTCCTCCGCCCCGGCCGCCTGATTGGGAAGGGTCCGAGAAGGTTCCGGGGCAGAGCTCACGGGCCCTTGCGCCGCTGCGCCGGCGACCGACGGCGCCTCGTTGGGGCCGTGCCGCACGCCACGGGCGCCTGGGGCGCCAGCGGTGCCTGTCCCGCCCGCCGACGCAGCCGGCGCCACCGCCGCCGTCGCCTGAAGAGAGGCGCAAAGAGGTTCCGGGGACAGGGAGGGCTGGTGTCCCCAGCGCCAAAGCTACCCAGTGCCAAAGCCTCGTGTGGGGGAGGAGTGGTGCCGTTGAGTCGAGGAGAGGGCTGGGCGGGCGGACAGCGTGTGTGCGGCTCGGTGGGGCGGCGGAGGCGGAGACTGCATCGCGGGAGGCGGGCGGCGGCGGCGGCAGAGGCACGCCTGGTGCGTCGCCACACGGCTCATCCGGGTCTGGATGTGGAGGAGGAGGAGGGCGAGCGCAAAGGCGCAGACGACGAAGCGCGTCGTCGAGCGGCGCCGCGCCGCGGGTGGCGGCCGAGCCGACGGGGCGCCGCCTCCGCCTCCTCCTCCTCGGTTTGCCAGCGACGAGAGAAGCGGCCGGCCGCGGGAGGGCTTGGCGGCGGGGCTGTCCGACCACGCGTCGCCCCACTCCTCGTCGTCGCCCTCCCAGTCCCAGTCGGCGCTGGCCTTGGCCGCCTGCTGAGCGCGGCGAGCCGACATACCCTGTGCTGTGCCGCGGCCGAGTGTCTTACCAACACGCCGCGCGAGTCTGAGAAAAAGAATTCAACGAAAAGAACTCTCTCTCACAGCACACAGGTTCGACACAGGTACGCCACAATACCAAAAGAGGCACAGTCGCGGGGAAAAAGAATTATCGCCACGAGGGCATCCTCCCATACTTCCCTTGGATGGCACGACGCGGACTGGCACGGGACAGGCACACACACCGGCTCACCAGATCTGCGAGCGGTCCTTCGTTGCAGACGCACACACGCACACGCCGCGCCGCACCGCGCGCCCGCCCACCGCCCCGCCCAGGCGGGAAAGAGGTGGGGAGATGGGACAGCGAAGGAGGAGTACGAGCACGTATGGGAGGGTTCAGTAATGCGCCACGCTGCCCGGCGTTTCTCACTTTCCGGGACAGCCCCGCCCTTGTGAGGCAGGAAAGTGACGGCTACCCCGTACGCGCCTGCTGCTCTACTCGTCGCCGACCGCCCATTCCCCCCTCCTCGTTCCCCCCTCGAATGCTCCGGACCCCGACAAGCCGCCCGACGTTGGGCCTCTGCCCCGCACGCCCCCGCCCCTCGCTCACACCCCGGCCCGACACGCACTCTGCCCCGCACGCCCCCGCCCCTTCTGCCCCTCGCCCACACCCCGGCCCGACACGCACATACAAGACAAACCCGGCGTCCTGCTCTCAAAAGAAAAAGAAAAAAGGGAATGAGGAGACCAGCGAGGGAGACTCCCCGCCTATGCAAGCCCCAGAGAGGGGCCGCCATCGCCGAAGCTGTGCCAAAGCATAACTCCAAAACCCGCAGCGGCCCAGGGGGCCTTGGGGGCAGCCTGCCGGACCGCCGCTGCACGGGGCTAGGCACCAGAAGATGAGTGGAATTGATGAATTGGGCCGTTGTCCGTGCCTCCCCTCTATACGTCAGAGTGGGACCTACGCCGCGCCGGGAAAGGGGCGCGCCCGGTCCTCGACGGAGCCGCGCGCCCCAAACGACCCAGGCGGTGAGTAGTCGTCCTCGAACCTTCGACTTGTAGTCGCCCGTGGTTAGCGCCCCTCCTCCCTCGCCCGTCCCTACTCGTACTGCTCTCGGGGCGCCCGCGGCATCTCGCCGCCCATCTTTGGCCACGCGTTGTAGTCGAAGATGGCGGCGTTGCGCCTCGCGACGATGGCCGAGTGCACTTGCAGGAAGCGCTTGCGCTCGCTACTGACCCGCCATCGTTCGCTGTCGGAGGACGCCTTAGCGGCCTTGATGTCGAAGTTGGTGTTGAACCACGTCGCCGCCTCGTGCCCGATGCCGCCGCGCGTGCTCGCCGCCCACGTCATAAAGTCGCAGTTTTTGGCGTCGCACGCCGCTGCCTTGGCCTTCCGCTTCGTCTCCTCGGCGTAGTCGGTGGCTAGGCGCTTGCCGCTCGCCAGCGGGCGCAGCTTGTCATGGTGCACCGCGGTGACGCACGTGCCGTCGTACACCACGGCGCGTGCCGACTCTGCATAGTTGCCGAAGACGCCGTCGCCCCGCTGGTACGGGTTGGTGTCCGGATCGTGCGCCCGCGTCGGGTCCCTGCAGCCGAGCCTCACTTCCATGACCTTTGCCGAGGCGCCGAAGGCGCGGGCGACGTTCGTGACGTGGGTGTTGAGGGACGTGTGCCCCGTGGCCAGCCAGCCGCCGTAGTTGCACCCGTCCCAGTGCGTACCGTTGAGGTGCTCGAAGAGCGACAGCGTGCGCGGCACTCGCGCTTCGCCGATGTCGCACGGGACGCATCCCGTTAGCCTCGTGCGGTGGTAGATGCACACCGAGTTAGGGCCCACGCCGACGCAGCGCGTTTGGCCGCCGTGATTGACCGCGGACACGACAGTTTTATGCTGCCCGCGCTCCTCTTCCCGCTGTCTGCGGCCATAGACCTCCACGCTTCGATTGAGTGGCAGATCGAAGCTTACTCCGCGGCCGCGCCCAGCTTTCTCAGCTCGAAGGCGATCGATCACTCGTGTGTCCTTGGTTTCGTGCCCTCTCGGAGTCGTGTTAGGTGACACACTCTCGGAGTCGTGTTAGGCGACCATCCTCGACTCCACGCAAAAGGTGCTCCGGAACGGCACGAACGGTTGGACATGCATGCCGGCCAACCCCAGCGGGCCCGCGTCGGAAGACGGCGTCTGGGCGTCTGCGCGCGAGGCGGCGCCTGTCTGCTTTGACGCGGCCGGCCTCGACTGGATGAAGGGCTGGATGGCGCGCAAGAAGCCGCTCATGAAGCGCGACGCGTTTGTCTGGATGCTGCAAGGCGATTGCTCTCTCCGCCCTCGCCGCAGACCCCAACAGCATTGCCGCCATCAGCCTTTGCCCGTACACCGCAGCCAGCCACCCTCGTCGCCTGCGCTTCTTGGCACTCGAGAGGGGAGAGAGGCGGTGGGGAGGAGCCTCCGGACCTCCTCGCCTATTGGTTCCCTTCCTTTTGCCGCGACAGGCGACTTGGGCTTCGACAACACGGACCCGTTTGTCACCTCAAAGGAGGAGGCGGGCCCGGATCAGTGGATCGAGTCGGGGCCGCACCTGATGATGTTCCCAAAGGCACGCCCGCCAACCCCCCTCCCCCCCTCC